CCCCGCTCCCGCGCCGCTGCTGGGGTGCAGCACTGCTGGGGGTTTGGGATGGCAAGCAGGGCAATGGGGTGCCTCGGAAAGGGGTGGCTGGTGGGGACAACCACAATGCCCTTGGGACACCCCAGGCTGGCCGGGTTTTGGAGAACATGGCCTTATCCAAGGGCCCAGCCTCCACACAGGCTCTCTGTGGCACCCTTGGAGGTGTCCCTGTCCCCTGCTGGGGGCGGGAATGGGGACAGAGAGTGGGTCTGGCCTGGTCTTGGCCTTGGAAAGCAGGGAGGAGACTTGCTGTATGGAGCTGGGGACCTCTCATGTCTTCATGGCTGTGCCTTCAGAGCAGGGGTGTGAGCACAGCTTCCCACAGGGCGCTCTCATGTGTACCGACCTGCGAGCCCATCACCTCCTCATCAGACCTGTGCTGTTCCTGCTGTCCTGGTGTCGTTCGAACTCGGGTTGGGGGCTCAGGCTGGTGCTGTCCTGACTGTGGGGTGTCTCGGCAGGATCAGGACCGCGGCTGGAGCCGCCCCCCTGCCCTGCTGAGCGCACATGTCCACCTGCCCGTGCCCAGAAGATGACCAGGCTGCTCTTGGGGGTGACCCTGGAAAGGATTTGCAAGGCCGTGCTGCTGCTCTGCCTGCTCCACTTCGTCATCATCATGATTCTCTACTTCGATGTCTACGCGCAGCACCTGGACTTCTTCAGCCGCTTCAACGCCAGGAACGCCTCGCGCGCCCACCCCTTCTCCAACTCCTCCCGCCCCAACGGCACCGTCCCCAGCTACGGGCCAGCCGGTGCTGAGGCCCTATCCCCCAGTGTCAAGCCCAGCACCAACCAGTCTGCCACTGAGAAGCCCTTGCAGCCCTGTCAGGAGATGCCTCCCGGCTTAGGTGAGACATGCGGGGTGAGCATGGTGGGCAGTTGGGCTCTGGCTCTGAGTGTGGGGTTGGAGTGGGCACATGTGGGTGGCATCCCTGTGCCCTGGACATGACTTTCTGGCAGTCTTGGGGGTGAAGCAGTGGAGAAACCCGAGCCTGGAAGTGGTACCAGGACAGCTGATTTCTTCAGGTTTTGTTAGCGGCTTGCCCAGTCTCTCTGCCCCTGTTTGGGAAAGGTTTTGGTTGTCCTCTGCTCTCGGTAGTGCTGATCCCCCTTGCAGGTCCCCTTCACTGTTTGTTTCACCAGCCTGGCCAGGAGCAGTGGGTGACCATGACCCAGACTGTGTCCTGTCCTGTGAGCATCACCCTGCCCTCCCTCTTGCAGTCGGGCGCCTGCTTATCGAGTTCAGCTCTCCCATGAGCATGGAGCGGGTGCAGCGGGAGAACCCTGACGTGCGCCAGGGTGGCAAGTACACTCCCCCGGACTGCTTGCCCCAGCAGAAGGTGGCCATCCTCATCCCCTTCCGGCACCGTGAACACCACCTCAAGTACTGGCTGCACTACCTGCACCCCATCCTGCGCCGTCAGAAGGTGGCTTATGGCATCTACATCATCAACCAGGTGAGGTGGGCAGGGGAGAGGGGTTGGCAGGGCCGGGGTGGGCAGGCAGGCAGGCATTGCTGAGCTCTGCCCTGCAGTTTGGCGAGGACACCTTCAACCGGGCCAAGCTGCTCAATGTGGGGTTCCTGGAGGCCCTCAAGGACGACGAGGAGTACGACTGCTTCATCTTCAGCGATGTGGACCTCATCCCCATGGATGACCGCAACCTCTATCGCTGCTACGAGCAGCCACGGCACTTTGCCGTTGGCATGGACAAGTTTGGGTTCAGGTGGGTGCTCTGCGGGGCTGGGGTGTTTCCCTGGCCAGGGCTGGGATGACACTGGGGCCACCAGCCCAGGGCGGGCATGGGGTCGCTGGTTTGAATTCCAGACGTGGGATGGGAGAGGACACAGAGCCCTGGGTGGGAGGGTGACACAGGGGAGGGCTGGTGCTTGTCCCTGGGGGTCCCTGTGGGGCTGGCCCCCCTCTCTGCCTGTCCCTGGGACTGACCTGTTTGCTGTCACCCTGCAGGCTGCCCTATGCCGGCTACTTTGGCGGTGTCTCTGGGCTGAGCAAGTCCCAGTTCCTGAAGATCAATGGCTTTCCCAATGAGTACTGGGGCTGGGGAGGAGAGGACGATGACATCTTTAACCGGTAGGTGCCAACCCTTCGCCAGTGCTGGTTGGTTG